CACAAAGAGGCCAGGTTAGGGTGGGGCAGTGAGGTGAAGGAAGTGGTTTCACTATCTATGGGTGGAATCCTGATCAGATAGAATAAAATGAGCTGTTAACTGAATGGTTTTAATTTTCTCCCAAATATACTTCTTTATGTTCTGGCTCTAAAATCCTCAAAGATTTGGGGGTGAATAAGAACCCAATGCGTAAAGGCCTTCTATCTAAAATCACCTCCTTGGCACCTGTTGGGATGAGCACTGTGTGTTGTATGGAAACCAATTTGACAAATTATATTTAATATGAAAAAATAAAAAAATGAAAATAAATAAAATCACCTCCTCTGAGAAATCTTTCTTGGCTCCTCGGGCCTCCTCTCCAAGTTCATCAGACTACAACAGCAACCCATGGGAGGGTGTTAGGGGAGGATATAATCACGTGATATTGCTATTCACCCTATCTTTAAGTACAGGAGTTAAAGGGTAAATCAGCTCTAGATCCTGATTTTTCCCTCTTGCCCCCCAGGATTTGGCTGCCAATGTACTCTATCGCCTTATCTAATCGACAGACAGTGATGATTCATACTCTTTGTTATCTTAGAATTTTCTACATTCTTCAAGCTCTAGTTTAGGAATTCTCAAACCCAGGATGAATGCCAAAATTATTTGGGGAAACCTTTTTAAATATGCAGTTATAAGGCTTAATCCCTCAAACTCTGACCAGATCAGAGTCTTGTCACAGTCTCCTCCTTTGGAGGGTATCTGAAATTAGACCCAAGTTCCCCTACTCTTAGGTAGGCATTCTATATATATATGTAGATGTATATACACATACACACACACACACACACACGCACACTATATATATATATATATATATATATATATATATATATATAGTGGCTTTATTGTTTATCCTCAAAGTTTGGAGCCCATACATGTGCCTCAAGTTAGATTTTTTTCTAAACCTCTACCTACAGACCCAGCCAATATATGATTAGGAGGGTGATGACGCCATGTGGCCTATAAGCAGAGACACAGCAAGCCAACGCCTCAGAAACAGAGAATGGAAAGTGAGGAGCATACATAATCCATGAAGCTTGGCAGGCTCCTGACTCAAATCTGGATTCTGCAGAGATTTCCAAATACTGACTAGTAGAGAGGAAATAGTCAGGTGACTAAGAGCACAGCTTCTAGAGTCAGATGTGAATGAGTTAAAACCTTAAAAAAAAATTTTTTTTAATGCCAGGAAGATGGTAAGTGCTAAGTGTTAGCTACTACTATTACCATCATCTGTAACATTATTATTTATTTGTCCTGCTATCCCTGGCCTGACTGAGTCTTCCCTGGAGGGAACTCTTTTTCTTACAGATAATGCAAACCAACTCACTCTACAATTCCAGTCATTCTTCCATTACACAGTTTGTAACTTCTGTACTTTTAATAAGTGTATATCCACATATGTCAGCGGTGGCCAAATGGACTAATCAGATAAGGCCAAGTGAGCATCAAAAATCCAAAAGGACCTCATCAAGGTTGTACCAGGATGTTCTTTCAACCATGCTGACTAGTGGCTTGGATTAGGAGTTGAGAAAATATGCCCACCACCAAGACTGTGTAATCCCATCCAGTGTCTCCCTGGAAGCAGCAGTGAATGTATAACAGTACTGTTTCCATTCATGGTTAATTATTTTATAGCTGGGCTATAAAAAGAATTTCTTTAAGAACATATTGCTAAACTTTAAAATATCTTTGGTTCTTGAGTTGGAAAACAGAAGTAGAATGGTGCTATATGCATGAGCAAAAAATACAGTCACACCACAGACACATAAATGTCACAAAAACTGAGTCTCATATGTTGCTTATGTTAAAAAAGAAAATTCTCATATGCTGCCAAAATTTCCAAGGCTACACCACCTTGGACCACTGTCACCATATCCTCTTAGAGAAGAGAGTGGTGGGAGAAACACCAGGGAAATTATAAAGCCAGGGAAGATACTGCAAGGGTATTCTAGAGGCAGAAGGGACCAGAAGGCATCAGCTGGCCTAATATTCTCAGGATCAACCGTGGGCAGGGAGAGGAACCTGCCTCCCAGGGTCACCTAGATGACTGGGGGCACATGTGGAACTGAGGTTTGAATTGCCCAATTCTGGTCTATTACTGGTTTTACACTGCTCCACAATGCTTTTATATAAGAAAACAAGGAGTAAAATTACAACTTATATACAATATTTTAATTAAATACATATATATTTTTGTAACTCTTGTCATTAATTAAAATGAAAAGAAGGGAGATTTTAGTGAAATATGCTTTGTATTTTCTATTCTAAAAGTAAAACACATGCATTTGAGCAAAATCAGATGATACGAGACCAAAATGAGAATAAAAATATCCGATCAATAACAAAATCAAAATAAGCATTAGACCCACCATCCAAGCGCAGCTGCTCTTAATGGGTTCATATATTTCTTTCTAGCTTTATTTCTCTGCCAGAGTTTTTTAATGTATTTGTAGCTAGATTATATACATAATGCAGAATCCTCATTTTCACGTAACAGTATAACATAAGGCTATTTTTTCTGTTTTAAAAATATGCTCTGAGGCAAAACTGGAAAACGAAAATAAACTTAACTTGAATGAATTTAACTTAACTAAAATCAATGAGTTAAAAAGTTTAAATAAGATCTAAATCACTGTTAATATCGCACCAGTGGTATACAATCTCTCCTATCATTGTTCAATGCAGTTTCCTACCTCCTCCATTTTCCTGCAAAGACACCCACTCTACTCTGTAAGGACTTAATTGACTTTGGAGCCTCAGATACGTCAAGGGAACAGAGGACAGAAGAGGAATTAGCGAAGGAGTTCAACCCATGACCTTCCCCTTACCTCCTGCTCAAGTCCCACCCAGGCCCAAATTTTCTTCACTCAGAACTGTATAACTTCCTGAGTTCAGCTGGAGGAAGAGATTCCAAGAGTATAAAAAAGGGTGAGAGTGACTCAGAGAAGGGGAAACAGTTAATGGCGAGGCTCTGACCACAGGTGGATAATAAATTTCAAAGAGAGAGCCTCCCAAGGAAGCCAGGCCCAAGTGGGTGAAATCCAAGGTGGGGAAATGGAAGAAAGAGTAATGGGAAAAAGAGAGAAAAACTAAGAAAAAGCAAGAAAAAGAAAAGAGATTGACAAAGAAAGAAACTGCTGTACTAACAGACCTATTCTCTTCTTTTCTACCTCTTCTCCTGTGACTTTAATAACATTACTGACCAGAGGACAGTGGTGAAGTTTGTGATGAATTTTCTCCCTACAACTAATGTTTGGCTTGGCTCCACCATGGTATTTGCATTTTGACTTCAGACTTTACCTTTGTCCACCACCTGCCCTGACCCCAAATGGTAGAGTAATAACGTGGCTTGTCCCACCTACTTCTGCCAGCTGGAACAAAACCTGTAGAGAGCCAATGGCTGAAACAATGGCAGAACAGTTTTATAATGTTTACAGATATACTTGAGACAAGGTTCTGAGGTTTCATAGCCCTCAGTTTTTACAATAATGTCTTTACCTTCTTCTTCTTACCATAAAACAGTTTTCAACTTCAGGGATGATTAGCCGTCATTTCAACTGATTGGCTATAGTAGAATTTACTCAGTTGAAATTGCATTGCTGTCCTTGACATCTTTTCTACAGTGGAATAAACAATTAGTTTTCTAAAGAGTATATGTGGACATACATACTGAGTTTAGAGCTCTTTATTTAAGTATCTCTTTATGCAAGAAAAGATACCAGAGGGAAGGGGTTATTAATCTATAACTATTAAAATAACAGACTGTATATTCCTTGGTTATACTTCTAGGGAAAATTTAATAGACTTATGAAAACTTTTATAATTAGATCATTTTATAAAATTATCTATAAAATTAGAGATCTATAATGTTTCTTCATTTCTAAGAACTTAACTGTTCTTGACTTTTGCCCTCAATTCTCCTATTTCCAAAAGACATATTAAATGACCCACCATATTCCCCTTTTCCTATACAGAAACAGCTTAACTAGCAGATCAGACAGAGCAAAGAGGGTGTCTACTAAATGCTCACATCAAATCTTCTTTCCAAAGTTGAATGAAAGAAACTTTAAAAAGTTCCACTGAGCCAGGGCCAGAATGCCACAAAAGCATATTTTGTATTAAAGTGAGCTTGGACAACAATCTATTCTTTCAGAGTTCCTAGGAAGATGCCAGCACATGGCCTCATCACAGGACCAGCAGCATAGCTGTCCCCTGGCGCCAAGACAACACCCAGCAGACCCTGCCAGTGCGTCTGAGATTCCATCAAAAACACATTTCCTCAGGTTAAGACATTGCCCGTTCCTAAGTAACCTCTTTATAAATTAATCCAAATGTTAGGAAAGATAATGCAATAACATATTATTTATCTGCAAGACCATTTTGGAAATATCAGCCTGTCTCTTTTCTATTCTGACTAGAAAAGGTTCCTGGGGTATTTGTTTCCACCTCCTAGTAGCTGTGTAAGTATTCACGACTTACTTTATTTTTCTGAGCACCGTTGGCTTCATTCAGAAAAATAAGGGAAAGTATTTATCTTCCCAGACCACTGTGTAGATTCATTCATTGATTCATTCCAAAACATTTATTGACAACTTTGTGTCAGACCCTCTTCCAGGAGTTGGGGACAAAGCAGTGTACAATATGGGTAATAACCATTGCTTTCTTGGTGCAGACAACAGCCTGAGAGGAAGCAAGGTTCAAGGAGACAGACAGACAATAAGTAAGTAAGTAAGTAAGTAAGTAAATGCCCATAAGTGTCATCGAGCATTCCATTTCTATATAAAGTGATTAGCAATGTCCTCCAGCTGGTCACACAGGTATTTGATGGAACCGCCTTTCTGGCAGAGGGAATAGCAGGTGGAAACGTTCTGAGGCAGGAATGTGTTTGCTTTTTCACACAACGGTGAAGATACCAAAGTGGCTGGAGCAGACTGAGGAAGGGAGTGGGTGGTGGGGCATAAGGTCAGACTGTCCAGACAGCTGAGAATCATGTAGGGTCTTGTAAGCCAGTGGAAAGAAGGGTTTCAGGCTTTACTCTGCATGAGATGGACCTTCTGCACATCCTAAGCAAAGGCAAGACATGGTCTGAGTTCTGTTGTAAAAGAATCACCCTAGCTCTCATGCTGTGATTAAACTGCAAAGGCAAGGACAGAATCAGGGAGTCCATTAAGGAGGCTAAGGCACTAATCCAGGAGGGAGGTGGTAGTGGCTTGGCCTGGAGGTGGTGTGAGTTGGGCAGCAGCAGCTACATTCTGGGGATGCTGTCAAGGTTGAGAGGGCAGGACCAGGTGATGTGTTGAAGGCATAAATGAGAGAACAAAATCTAATATCAGCATATGTTCTATACATGTTAGCTTCCTTCTGTTACTTCCTTCCTAATAGATCCTTGAAATAAAGTGCTGCTGAAAAGGAGGAAGAAGGATGACTGATAGGGAGAGATCAGAGCATGGGCGTGGGCACAAAGACCTGACAGGTTGGTTGTCTCTTCCAGGCATCCTGAGGTTTCCGAAAGCAAGCTAGAAGGGTCTCCTCCTTCCCAAAACTCACTGCCAGCCCCCATTGCCTCCAGGCATGGAAACAGAGCAGAAGGCAGTCTTGCTAGAAGTGCATGTGGCTTCTAAGGGACCTTTGAATTAATGTCAGTCTTGATAACCCTACAAGAGGAGGGAAAACATTTCTTAAATTATCAGGTCTTAAGGTCTTAAGTCTCATCAATGCTTACCCCACCCTCTCCCCTAAATTCCTGTACTTATGCACCCATGGTACCAGGTAAAACCTAGGACTTGAATGCAACTTGAGAGAAAATGGGAAATTGAGAGATCCAGCAATAATTGGGATTGATTTTCACTTCCCAGATAAATGAGGGCTCAAATGATGTCATTAGAAAAAATAAGCTGTATTCCATCCATGGCCCAGTTGCTACCCACTATAATAGCAATACCCTAATATAAATACCCACTCTATTTTTCTATTTTTCTCCTATAAAATATCTATTTTTCTCCTATAAGATATATTTGAATTGCATTTTACAAGTATTTCTTATGAATTTATTGAAGCTTGATTGTATTTCAGAGCTCCAACTCCAGCAAAGGTAAAATAGTTTATCAAGTCAGAACAATCATACCGAAGTAAACCTCTAGAGCCTTGAAAAAGGTGGACATCAGAGGCAGGGAGCACTTTCCCTGGGCCTGTTCCATCATAGGACTTGTGGAGCCCAAGGGATACCAGAATTCTGGACATGGTGGCCGACTAGCAAATTTGGGAAATCTTTATGGCCCTGGTGTTTCTTGCCTTGATACAGAATAGCAAAGAAAAAGGAGTCTCTTCTTCCGTTCAAGTTTCTGACAATTTTGCTGTGTTGTTACTGAGTCTAAGGCGGAACTCTGGATTTCTGCTATAGTTTCTCTCTGGGCACATATAATGGAAAGAAACTATGACAGTCGTGAAATACTGCTCTGGGGGTTTCTCACTCTCAAAATTTAAGATAAGGTTTCATTTCATTTCCTTTTCAACATTGGCCTCAGCCATTCCATGCTCTTACTTATACTTCAAAACCTATTTCTAACAGCCAGGAATCACTTGAGATGAGAATGAAGAGTCTTTGAAAAGTAGAGGGTCTCTAGACCCCAAAAACTTTAGAAGAGAAAAGCCAAGCCAAGGGAGGCTGGGTAATTGCTCTTGGCTACGAGAGGAAAAAAAAGAAAACATGGGGATGGGACATCCACGTTTTCTTCAACTTTACAAAGTGTTCGTGTTACATACTGTACGATTCTATTTTTATAACATCTTTGAAAGGATAGTGTTTAGAAATGAAGGGCAGACGTGGGGCTGCAAAGGTCTGTGGGGGGAGCACTGGAAGGAGGTGGTTGCCATTATAAAAGAGAGGCATGAGGGATCCTTGTGGTGCCTGTGGGAATTGTCCAGAATCTTGACTGAGGAGGGGAACATGCGAATTTACACAGGTGACAAAGCTGTGTCAGATTTCTCACACACACACACACACACACACACACACACACACACACACAAAACGCAAGTAAAACTGAGGAAATCTTAGGATTTCTGAACTCTATCAATATGACGCCCTGGTTGAGGGAACTGGGCGAAGTGTACAAGGGATTGATTACTCTGTATTATTTCTTACAATTGTGTGTGAATCTCAATTGTCTTGATAAAAATTTCAATTGAAGAAAAAGTGCTTAATGGAAAGACAGTCTTCAAAATTGCATGCATGATGCAGATATTGACAAGACAAATGCTGAAAAACTGATAAAGAGCATATTTCCCAGAAAGGAATGATTAATAAAAAATATCCAATCTAGCCAATAGTGAGAGAGACATAAATTAACAGATTAAAACATTATTTTCACCTATCAAGAGTTAACAATAAAATAAAAAAGATGTGGTAGAAAATATAATAAGACTTATACTCCCATACAAGGATGCCAGAAGTGTAAATTGATGCGGAACTTTTAAAAATCACGTAATAGTTTTGTAAAAATGATACACGCTTGGTATTTAAATTTTAAATCCAATAAGTCTCATTACAGCAAGCAATATTATTTCTCAAGAGATTTTACCAAATTTAAAATACTAAGTAAAATATTCTGAATATTATGGGATTGTTATGTGTCTAAATCTGTATTTCAATATTTATTAATAAGAATAAACTTCAATTTTCAAGGAATAAAATTCAGTCAACTCTATGATAAAAGACATCAGTCTGAACAAACTCATAACCAACCACAAGTGTCCCATCCTATTTTTTATACACACAAAACACTGTAAAACATAAGCCTACTGGAAGATGAGTTTTCAAGAAAAAAATAATAATGGAATGCTAAGCTACAAGCAATATACAAGATGAAAGAAAAAACTATACGGGGCTGAAGCGAGTGGTGATTATAGCAATTTTAAATACAAATAAGTTACTCATGTATTCAGATTATCAGTCTTTCTCCTTCCTGAATTATCTGTCCAGTGAATATTTGGCTTTGTAGTTTAAGCAACCACTGTCCTACACATAATAAATTATTCAGAGTACTACATTTTAGCCTGCCCCTTGGTTATCTTCTATAACTTTTCCCCCAGACTTCCAATGACTTCTTTTTTTTTTTTTTCTTGTCCATTAGACAGATGGGTATATTCACTCAGCACCAAAAAAGCTCCAGGTTTGTAATAATGAAAAGTATACACTAGTGTATACTATCTTCTTAAGATAATATCCACGGGAGCATATGCTCAAACCCAATAATTCTATAAATTTATTCCAAAGAAATGATCATAGAAGCATTCAACTTTTATGTGCAAAGCTATGAGTTACTTTTTACCACAAAAATTAGACCCTATCTAAATAATTAATAGTGAAAGATTTGTTAAATAAATTATAAAGAAGCATCAGCCGTAAAGAACTATTTTCTAAATGTTCACATATATAAATGCAAATGCATAGAAAAAGTCTGGAAAGATACATACAAAATAGTAACAGTTACATCTGAGGATGGGATATATTGGAGAGCTTTATGTAATTGAGACTTTTAACATGAAAATACATTGGTGTATTACTTTATTGAATTTCAAAAATACATGAAACTATCATTAATCTTCTACAAATCCAGCATAAACAAAAACAAGATCAAAGAAAAAGTAGCAATGAACAAAACTATATCCATAAGATGAAGTATCATATACCTATTAATGCTTTGATAAATTTTAGTGCTATGGGAAACTGTGCTATGGGAAACTGTTCATTATATATTACTAAGTAAAGAAAAAAAGGTAGCTAAAATGTGCTAGCTGTTGTAAATATCTATGAACATCCATAAATAGGAAAAGAGAAGAAAACACATCACAATATTAATAGTTGTTACATCTGGGTTGTAAAATATTGGTGATTGCTGTTTTCTTTCTACATTTATTCACTTTCTAAGTTTTCCGGAGTTTTTATAATACAGGTCAAAATAGTTTAAAGCCAAACCACACTTTGAGGTCTTTCATCAACTGCACAGTATTCTGCCATCAAGTCTCTAGCAAACAGTCTTTCCATTATGCATCTTCATCGTAAAGCTTGTGCAAGCTAGATGATACACATGATTCCAGTAACTAAAAACTGTCAATGGTGTGACCTAAGTTGGAAGGCTCTGTCAATTTCACTGAAGACAAACACAATGGGGAAGCAGACTACAGAGGTTTAAAGGAGTCTGAGATACCTCTAGTAATCTGTTTAAATGACCATATGTTGATAAAATCTATAGATGTTGTTGTGATTTTTCTACTTAAAAAATGGCCCAATGTTGTGTATGCTTTTGATCTCACCAACATGTATCTACTGCTGAGAAGCTTTAATAAGGCCATTGTTTGGCTGGAGGGAGAGGAACTGAAAAGAGAGAATGATATAAACATTTTCTGAGTGCTAACTATATGGTAGATCCAATGAAAGGCATTTTATACAAACTAAAGTTTCCACAGAATCCAAGAGCTTTGATTTCTTGCTTTGTAGCTCATACCCTCACATTCTGGTTGTAATGCATTATGGAGCCCACAAAGGAGGCTGGGTCTCAGTTACCTCCCCCATAGGAGTGTGGGTAATGGGAATAAGAAGAAATATTTAGCCCTGACTCAATTCTTTACTGTCTTCTATTTATCTTCTTTCCTTGTTTAGTAATACTGCATTTTATTTGTAATGCAACTTTTTGGTTTTAAATTCCTTTTTAACACATTTCTTCTGGCCCTACAAATACCCTGGGAGATAGGCTATTAGTAAAGCCATTTTACAGGCAAGAAAGCTAAGATTCGAGATACTGGGTAGAGATGTTTGGTGAAAGGCAAAGGTGTGTGTGTATTAGGCAAACACCAGACAGAACAGGCACCAGAACTCAGGCTTTCTTTCCTTTAGGCGACCCAGTAAGTGTCCCCCCTTCCTCCATTCCTTAGAGCAGTAAGTGACAAGTGGTAAACAGACCTTACTTCAACAACATAACACTAGTGTCTATAAAAACGTCTCTGGACCCATCCCAGGCTAAGCCAGAGCCACACCCAGGCACAGGAACTCAGAAGGAGCAAAACCACTAGGGATCTTTTCTCTTGAGTTTCATTATGAGAACACCAACAAAGCCCATCCGTCTAACCCAAGGTCAACACCAAGCACTGAGCCCCTGAATCCCTGCCTCTGTGATGAATGTGTTGCCCTCAGCCTCCACCACCACTTCCCCCAAATCTTAGTGTTCTCAACCATCTTCCACAGCTTCCTCTTTTCTACCCCCTTCCCACTGTCATTTCTGTATTCCAATAAAAATAACCTTTTGGTAACTCAGATCTCATTTCATGGCATGTGGAAACCGTGAAAACAGTTCTAATGTCACAACAGAACCACTCATCATCATCACCCAATGTTATTACAATAGAGAAAGAAACTGAATGTGAAGATGGCCAACGAGATGACCTTGCCAACTCTGCCCAAATTCCCCAGCTACAGGAAATTCTTTTCCTGCTCTGAGTCAAATGAAAAGTTTTTATAACTCAAGCTAAGCCAACAGAAAGGAAAAGTAAAGGTAACAGACATGAAAAGTGACTTCCAAAGAACCCGGCTACCTTTCTAGAATAAGTGGATTACAGTCATTGTTTCCGTTTCTTCACTGCTTATTTCCATGTGACC